AGCGAGAGCTGCTGAACGGTCTCCATTTCGATCTGTTCTCTTTGCCAGCCGAGCGAGCACTGTTAACGAATCCTCCGCTTTGGGGGCGGAGGGGACCTCCGTGGTCACACAGGATAACGCTCTCATTTCAATACGCGGAGGAAACCTAAGGCCCAGAACGGAGAAGGGACTTACCCAAGGTCACACAGCTACTTATGTGCAGGGCTGGGCCTAGAACCCAGGTCTTCTGCCTCCAGTCAAGGTTCGCGCCACTGCAGCACGCCTCTTCCTCCTGCTCTTGCTGACTTCTGAAGGTGGCTGAAGCCAAAACAGGGAGCGCCTCTGCTGGATCCCTCATTGAACAGGTGCCTTGCTGGCAAGATCAAACCAATCGCATTCTCGGAAAGCCTCCTAAACAGCTGACATTGCAGGCATAACAATGGTGCAGCAATAACTATTATTGCTACATGAAAACGAAATATATTTAATAAGAAGCTCATTGATTTTTAACAGCATCTCTGTGTTGCCTAATTGATGGGAAGTTGTATGTTTGCGTAGCCGGTGGCGGTTATGAATTAAATATGGCCGTCTTTCCTTGAGGGATGCATGTCAACGCGAGAAAGACGGAGGCGCTACATCTCCCCCAAGCAACGCAGTCCCCTTGTAGCAGGAGCAGGGAACACTGAAATGCGAACAAAAATAAAAACCATCCATCACTGTTTATTAAGTGCTGCTACTTGAAGGTAAAAGGGATATTGAACTGTTTTTAAATTGGAAGGAATGTAGCTGGACAAAATATTGATGGTAATATTAGCTGGGTGACAAATTTTATTCTTTTGTCCACATTCATCAAAGGAGCAATTTGGAGTGAATTATTCTCTCTATACCCATAAACCAATTTTTCTTCCCTTTTTATTTTTTAAGCACACATGTTTATTAAGGAACACTGTGCGCGAGGGGTTGCTGCATGAGTCAAAGGTTCCACCAGGGCTGTCGACCCCGCCAGGCAGCCAGCCCTAAGGTGCTTATGTAAAATTTAATACGGGCTTAAAAATCGAGGCCGACTGAATCTGTTCCCACAATTTAAGAGAAAAGGGGTGGGTCAGATTTGATTTCATTTTTAGCTGTGGTTTTCAAGTGGAAGTTCTGAAGCATTTATTTGTTTTTCCAAATTTATAGTGTGCCCCTTCAGCCCAATGTTCACTGGCCGTCGTTCAATGAAAACATCCAAGTTTCTGGGGGCAGAATGGGCCAAGGCAGCGGAATGAACATTGAAATTGTCGGCCGACAATGGGGGAATTTAAATAAAACTGTAGTTTGAAGTTTCGGTCTCTTCAGCTCTGCTCAACTTTAAGACAGTTTATTTTCATGAGGTCACCAAAGGTCAGAGCCACTTCACCAGAACCTTGCCAGGCGACCCAGGGTACCCAGGAAGAGGTGGACGGCTGGATTCCAGACTCCGTCCAATTCCCAGTAGTTGGAGAAATACCTGATATGTGTCCAGATCGACGCTCTTATATCTTCTGACAGCTCTCCCCGTTCCAAGCAAAGGCCGATTCATTGAGGAAGAAATAAAGTTTTGTTTGTGAAAGACTTTCTAAAGCAGAAAAGCTCTTAGGTCAGGCTACCGTAAACCAGTTGTGGTTTCTTGCATGCCTTGATTTGCAGAGCCACCCCCCTTGGCTATTAAATGAAGAAATGTCTAAGAAAGCGGGCCAGAGTCAGTCCATCCGTCAAGTGGCTAAGGAGTCTCGGCACCCAGGGATGCTAACATTCATGTACCCCCGGATGGTCCCCGACATTTTCCCCCACAGACTGTACTGTTTGTTGTTATTATAACCAAGGGGGTCACGGGGTCAGCTTCTGTCCCCTGGTTACCTCACAGGCGTCAGTAGAACTGTGCTCCACAGGCTGGCTTTGCGGGGCCTGATGGTTTTCAGAAGCGGGTCACCAGACTTTTCTCCCGAGGTCCCTTGGGGGCGGTGATCATAAAAAGCCATTGCCACCCCGTGGATTCCAACTCATAGTGTCCAAGAGGACCGAGTAGACCTTCCCCCCAGAGTTGCCACGGCTGCCCACCTTTACAGGAACAGACTGCCACGTCTTTTTCCTGAGGAGGGACTGGTGAGTTTGAACTGCTAGCATTTCCATGAGCCCCCAAGTGCGTAACCACTGTGCCACCGGGGCTCACGTGGTTCTGTGACTTCTCTAAGGTCATGCTGATCTTAACTGCCTCTGAGCCAGGATGTAAGGAGCCCTAGGTGCACACTGGTTACACCTTGACCACCCACCATGAGGGCAGTCATTTGAACCGCTCCTTGGGAGAAAGCTGGGGCTTTCTACTCCCCTGGGGGTTACAGTCTAGGAAACTCAGAGGGGCAGTTCTACCCTGCCCTGTAGGGTCACTATGAGGCTGCATGTACTCCGTGGCAGGGAGTTGGGTTACACACTGAGCTGCTGAATGCAAGGTCAGCAGTTCGAAACCCATAGTGTTCTCCTCCCATCAATAGGTGCAGCCTTGGAAACTCAAAGAGGCAACGCTGTGCTGCCCTACAGGGGTCACGATGAGTCAGAATCTACTCGATGGGCACTGGTTGGTTTTGAGGGAAACCAGGGTTTCTGGACTTGTTTTTTCCTGCACCACCTGAAACGGTGCGAGCCAGTGTAAGTCTAAGTGCCAAATGAATGGTACAGGCGTCAGCACAGTATTTTTGCAGAAATAATGTGTTAGATTTTTTCTCCACCCCCCCACCCAGTTTTTTGTAAGTATGCTATTCTATTTTTTTTTACAACAACATGTATAACATTAACATAGTGAGCTTATGGAAATAGCTGGGCGGGGGCAAGGGCGAGGTCAGCAAAATTAGTATAACACACGTGTTATTTGCATAAAACAACGAAGAGCATGATCCTGGCTAAGCCTTGTAACTGTCATCTGAATAAGCCCAAAGACCCCTGTGTCCCCGTCTCAGCAGGAATCACACTCAGGTCACCCAGCAGCCCAAAGGAATTGGACGTAATTCTCGGTTTTCTTTGTAATGTTTAAAGGAGACTGCAGTAGTTCAAGGGGAGTCCATTCATAGGGGTTTGCCCATTAATTTGTTCTCCGCTTCCCATGAGGTCTATACACTCACTTCTCACTGTGTTCTTCTCCCACAGTTGCTCCTTACGTTTACTCTTCCTTTTATTTGTCTCTCTTCTGGGCCCTGGGGGCATAATGGTTATGAGTTGGGTTGCTAACTTCAAGGACAGTAGTTCGAAACCACCAGCCGCTCCACAGGAAATAGATGGGGATTTCTACTCCTGAAAAGAATGGCAGTCTCAGGAACTCACAGGAGCCGTACTGCCCTGTCCTTCAGGGTCGCTATGAGTTCAAAATTGACTCGATGCAGTGAGTTTGGTGTTTTGGTTTGGGGACATATCTTAGTCCTGGCTAAAGAAATTCTACTATAACTTGTCTACCCTCTGGCAATGTGGGTCTGACTAAAGCCTGGGAACTTAGTGGTGGAGGAGACTCACCCAAGACCAATCATTTTTCATCACACTATTTTGAGGAGGAAGTCATTTATGACCAAAATATGACCTTGTGTGGCACCTGGGTGTGTGTTTTAGAACTTTAAGATTTAAAACATAGGAAAGCGGAAAAAAAGCTCACAATAGAAAGGAATGGCGAAACAGAACCTCAACATCAAAACAACAACAAACGTGAATAAATACATAAAGTAGAGAACTTCTGCGCCTTCAGAGCAGAAGATGAAAAACCGATTGTCTGCTCTCAATAAGCATTGGTACCAGGTACTCGAAGGCCCCCTCGTCATCACTTTGAGTTGTCCCCAGTTGATTCACTGTAAACAAAAGCAAAGCAAACAATACCCGTGTGGCCACAGCGTCCCTGCTGACTTCTGGTGAGGACCACAGGAAACAGAAAAGGATCGCCCTCCCGGCTTCCCCAGACTGTAATAGTTTGGGAAGCAGAAGCCAAGTCTTTCTCCCCCAGAGTAACTGGTGGGTTTGACGCCTTGATCATTCGATTATCAGCTGAGTGCCTGATCACTACTCTGTCATAAAAATCAAACCCGGGCTTCGGCAAAGATCCCAAAAGACCACTCACTTCCCTCCCAGCGTGAGGAGGGCCAGTGCAGTGGTGAACCGAGTACACCCTGGGGCTCCCATCCCATCTCCACTGTCCGGTAGCTGTGTGATCACCGGCACTTTCCTTAGCTTCTCGGCATCTCCATTTTCCCACCTACAGAAGGTGGGGGAGATGATGTCATGTATCCTACAGAACTGCTGCGAGCAAGAATTACTACCCATAGGCCACTGGTCAGCCACCAGACACATTGATGATTGTAGTCGTCTCCGTGGAACTCTCTTCACACCGTTCCTTTGAAATTCAGGACTGTCGTCGAAGATCAGCAACTACAAGTCATTGAGCATTGACATGGAAGCACTGTACGACGTAGGCACTTAATACATGCGGTTTTATTTAGTCCCTGAGCACTCTGCATATAGGGCCTTCCCGGGTAGCAGGTTCATCTTGGAAATTGGGACTACTTTCAGACTGTTTGCAGTTGGGCCAACCCTCGTCCACTTCCGGGGTGGTGGGTGGGGGGAGCCCCTCCTTTCATGCCCACCCTCCATCTCCACAGTGAAGGGTGGCAGAGGAGGTAAGGGCAGGACTGTGCCATTTCTCTTGCTGTTTTCACAGTTAAGGAGACACTGATAAGGGCTTGCACTCGTAAAGATTGTGTTGATGAACAGTTCCTCTCTTCCTGGAGCAAGAGGAAACTAAGCACGGAGACCTCAGATGCCAAACGGCCCTAAAATCTGTAGTCAATGTTTCAGGCATTTATGTGGGCTTCACATTTCCCAACGCACCCCACCCCCCAAGACTGAATTCAACCTAAAGAAAAACATTTTCTCTCTCCCAGATTCTAACCCATTTAGTTTCCCTTTTAGTTGGGGGAGCTAATTTCTAACCGTTTCTGAATGTTTGGTTACAATTGTGTGAAAGAAAAAAGGATAAAGGGGAGAAGTCGTGTTTGATATTATTGGGGTGGTTCTTTGCATTTCTAACTCCAAAGAATGGACTAAATACGTCCAGGGCCAATCCTGAGGCCCTGGAGGCCAGGTTCAATTCCTGGCAAGGTCTTCTTATTGCAGTTCTGTCTCCCTCTAGAAATAGGGACGTTCACAAAGAAGAATAAAGAAAGGAAAACTTGACATCCCTCAGTCAACAATACTAATGTTGCTATTAGGTGTCATCGAATTGATTTCAAGAGGGCAGAGTAGAGCGATCCCAGAGTGCGTTTTAGACTGGTGACCAAAGGATGAAAGTATTGACCTAATCTAAAGGTCGCTGGTACAACCCCACACCAGCTCTGTGGGAGAAAAGATCTGGCCACCGGCTCTTGTCACAACGCAGACTAAGAAGCCCTATGTGGCAGGTCTGTTCTGTCCTACAGCTGCGATGAGTTGGGAGCCACTGGAAAGCGCCCCACGGCGATTATGGAGACAGGAGCAGAATGGGGATCTTTTTCCTGCATGTCGCCAGGTGGGTTCCAGCCTGTCCACTTTTCAGTTAGCAGCCACGCACTAAACCACCGAGCAATAGTAATAGAATGTGAACTAGCTCCATTTAAGAGTTGAGATCCACTACCAGTACATTTTAGTCTGGTAGTAAAAATAACTTGTAAAGCCACTGTGTTGGAAAGCTCAGTGATTCACCGCCTCTTCCATCCTTGCCCCCTTATCCGGGTTCCAGCACTCCGAAGACAAGTCCTCCTGGAGTTCCTTGTGCCTCAAGAAAGGACAGGCCACCCAGAAGCTGGTTACTCAGGTAGAAGTGTACCCCTTATGTGGTGCTGTTAGGTCTTTTGGGCCTTCAGGTTTCTGAAATGATTGGAGTTCTTTCAAAAGAGGAACTCTGCCTTTGATTCTGAAACTCTCTTTAGGTTCTGGAATCCCATGATGCCTGAGGAACCCTGGTGGTGTAGTGGGCCACACGTTGGGTTGCTAAGTGCAAGGTCAGCAGTGTGAAGCCACTGTACTCCATAGCGGAAAGATGTACAGGCTCAGACACCTAGAGGCGGGGCACTTCTGTCCCGTCTTCTAGAGTCGCTATGAGTCCGAATCCACTCAATGCAACAGTGAGTTTGATTTTTTGGTTTAGGGAGATACTGAAGCCCTCCTCTGGCTCAGAGCGGCTTCCTTTTTCCTCCCAAGGAGTGAATCTGATTTGTTGAAGATGCTCTGCACCAACCTCTGGGTGCTCTTTGGTGAATTTAGGTTGCTTCCAGGCAGAGGGACATGCCAGGGCCGTTTCCAGGTCAAGAAAGAACAAGCAAAACGAGGGCTCAGGCTAAATCATGATAAAACCTCTTAGGAGTAGGCTGGCTAGATGGGGAGAAAGTCGTGCCACTGTGCGTTGGACACCAATTTGTCTCCCTCCGCTTTCTCAAAGTGGATCTTTTCCCTGCCCCCTAGTTATCATGCCCTTTGACCCAGAGTGTTCCACATTGAGGGTCTCCACTGAGTCCGAGAATCTGGACTGGTCCGGCTCTCCCTGTGGCTCGGTCATTTCTGCCATCTTCAGGGTTGAGGGCCACCTTCATTCATAGCACGTCCTCGGGTTCCTCCTGGGTGACTCTTGTCGACGATGGTATTGCCCTCTTTCTAATCCATGAAACTCATCTACCAGCAGATATCTGCCGACTGTCTATCATGAGCTGAATATCGTTTGAATATCTAGAGTGATAAAAATAGTAGAAAAGACCAGTGCTCCCATGAGATTTTATTCTAATGGGGCAGGCATGTCAGAGTTGAATGAACAAATGATGTCAGAGCGTGGCAAGGGCCACGAACAGAGAGATGATGCTAATGTCTACCACTCGTGGGATTATTACAGTGGCTTTGGTAGTTTGGGGATTTTCTCCCTTGTATATAAATCCATCACTGAGATTCAGTGTGGCAAGTGGGAGTGGGCACTTGTGACAGGACAGCTTGGGTTCTGCCCCTCACTAGCCAGGTGGTGTTAGGCAGGTGGCCGATCTCTTTCTGCCTCATTTCCCCTCATCTGTAAAATGGGGATAATAATACGAACTAGCAGAAATGACCGTTGTAAGCATTCAACAAGGTATCGCATACAAAACACTTCAAACAGTACCTGGTGCTTAGTGCTTAGGACTCAGAGCGCAGTGTGGTTCTTCAGCAAGCACCTGTGCCAGGGCTGGAGAAACAGTGACCCAGTGACCCAGCCGGCACGGATCCTGCCCTTCGAGTTTATCATTCCAGTCTATTAGCCCCACCTTGATGACTTCCTCCACGTATTTCAGACCCTTGTTAAGCCAGGAGCCAAAGACCATACGTCTTTAGATGGTGTTTCTAAGGAATACTGTCTTCCTCCTCCAGCATCTCACGAAACAGCTCAGCCATTCAGCTAAGGGTTCTGATGATCGATCTGGGAGCAGGAGGCAGGCATACCTGACTATCATGGAAAGTGGGCCACGCAGGCCCCTGGTGAAATGAAAACCCTCACTGTGGGGCACCCAGGAGGAGAGAAGGTCATTCCTAGAGCAGTGGTTCTCAACCTTCTTCATGTTGCCGCCCTTTAATACAGTTCCTCATGTTGTAGTGACACCCCACCCCCACAACCATAACATTATTTTTGTTGCTACTTCATAGCTGTAATTTTGCCACTGTTATGAATCAGGCGACTCCTGTGAAAGGGTTGTTCGACCCCCAAAGGGGTCGCGACCCACAAGTTGAGAACTGCTGTCCTAGAGGGAAAAGGTACCTTCCACCTGGTGAGAGTCAAGGTGTATGATTGATTGATGTTTAACTAACAGAGACATGAATTCCTCTCCATCTTCCCAGGTTATTTCTGATAGGATTTTATCACCGTGAACACAAGCAATACTTTATTATCTCTTGTCAAAACTTGGGAAGAGCATTAGAAGGCTAGAAATTAAACAAAGATGGGGGTGGAGAGAAAGACCTTGTAGGGCAGAAATGAAGTTTCTTAAATAGCTCCTTTTGCAAAGGGTTCTATGGTGGATGTGTTAGTCTGGGTAAACTAGAGAAACAAATTCACGGAGCCTTATATGTGTATAAGAAAGAGATTTCTATAAAGAGTAATTGTACATTAACAAAACATCCCAGTCCAGTCCAGATCAAGTCCATAAGTCCAATATTAGCCCATATGTCTGATATCAATGTATATAGTCCTCTTCAGACTCATGAAACACATGCAATGATGCCGAATGCAGGAAGCTCACGGACCAGTGGGTGGGAAGTCTTATGGATCCAGTGGCGTTGTAAGCATCTCAGCACTGGCAGGGGTCTCCATGTGGCTTCTCTGGTTCCAGAGGTCTGGTTTCATCAGCCTCTCTCCATGTGTCTTCTCCACAGGGATGTCTCACAGGGAGATAGCCTGTCTCCCACCTCCAGCGAGCTATTTATCTCCTTAGTGCCTCCAAATGAGTTCATCAAACTACAACCTGATTGACAGGCTAGGCTCCACCCGTCACTCTGAATCCTCAAATTGACACCAGATGATGTAACTACCACAGTGGACAACATCAGCCTGCCTATAATTCACTCACAGAGGATACCCAGAAATGCTCCTTGTATTGTTCATCAGATAGGAAGGATAAAGAGATCATGTTTACACAATACATCTCGTCCCATTCCCAACCCCACCTCCCGGGCCCACATAGGACCTGGAGCTGTTGCCTGCTGGTCCCACCTCATCATAGGGTCTACAGATTTCCCAACCTCTCTAAGTTGTTGTGTGCTGGAGCCAAGGTTCTTTACGATACCTGATGGGGCTGAGCAGTTGAGGGGTAGTTTGAAACAATACACACACACACACACACACACACACACACACACACACACACGAGCAAAGGGGAGTTCAGCCTGCAGTGAAATAGATAAGAGGGGGTCTTCCGTGGAATTGGCTGATACCTGCACATATGTGTATCAGTTTCAGTTCAGGAGTATTTATAATCAGAGCCTGTGAACTTCCAAACCAAAGTCTAGGGATCATCACACTTGGATAAGTGAGCGTTGCACTATATGTATGTAGATATGTTCTTTCGTTCATGGAAATGGAGAGCTGAGCATGTTCCCCCAGATCATCAATGAAGGGATTTGGGGTCCGCCATCCCCCTGTGACTCAGAGGCCGCTGCTCTAGCCCAACATGCACACAGACTTCCAGAGGAGATGGTCCAGGGACTCTGCTGCCCAGGGATGAGGCTCTCAAGAGCGATGTTGTGTTTCTGGCAGAACACACACACACACACACACACACACACACACACACACACACACACTTCAGATTGCAGCTAATGGAATATCTCCACAAGGACTGGCTGAAGTGCTGTGATGGTGGCCTGTGGGTAATGGTATGGACTTGGGAATTTGGACAATGAAAGACTGATACATGATGAAGTCCATAGGGCCCCTTCCATGGAATTCCCAATGCTCTGCCAATCCATCCTCCCATGCCTGCATGACAGACTGTAAAGTGCCCAAAGCCAGGGTGCAACCCAGGACGCCTGGCAGCAATGTGCCTGTCCTACCCTCACCACCCTTTCTGATGGCCTTCCTGGACTCATTTGGTAACCTACTGCTCGGCTTTATTTTTTGAAATGACTAGTTAATTAATAGACCCAGAAAGGACTTCTGAGTTTTAGAGCCGGCTTAAAGGGGCATGCTATCAGTTCGAAGGGGCTTCAAACATTCCAATAATCATCTTTTAATTCCAATTCTCCACAAACTTTTGGAAGCCTTTACAAAGTCACAAAATAAAGAAAATTACAAGGGGAGAAGGTGAACCAGATTTTTAAAAAGGGGGGTGGGGGGAGGCCTTATAGGCAAGAAGAAATATTCTTGGGGCAGAGGTAAAAACATCACTAACCCACACAGCTCCAGGGTCCCATTCAGTTCTATAGTTACAATAATTGGAAATCAACAAGGGTGGTGAGCCAGTAAAGGAGTTATGAAAGGAAGGTCTGATTTTTGAAACCAGTTAGGATGGTCTCCCCCAGCTCCCATTCTAAAGCAAGTGTTTCTAAGGCACCCTAAAAAATAGATCTGGGGAAAGCCTTACAGCCAGGTTCTTATTTTCTGAGCACCGAGAGAGTTTCCAGGCACCCGCTGTGTAGTTGCAGTTAATGCAGGCACTTCAATGTCACCTGGCTTATCTGACACTGAGCATGGACGTGAGGGACATGGAATAGTCACATGTACAAGGCTTTGTGCCAACTCATCTATTGTAAGAGTCCAACTTCAGGCTCAGACAATCTGATTATGGAGCCACAAAACTTTAGGATTAGTCATGCTAATGAAAGCCATTTGGCCCCGCTTTCTCTGCAAACAAACCTATCTGTGTTGGTTCATTTACTCTTGCATATATCTGGCAATTATTGGTATTAAATTGATTTAGTGTTTCGCAAAATGTTTCAAACACCCAACACAACTCCCAGTCTGTTTTATCGCTGAATACAAGAACATGAATTCCTCCCGATGCAATCAGTGTTTGCTTTAACCCCTGAAGTGTACACACCAATCCCTCCTTAATTATGACCATCCGCGCCCTCCTTCTGTGTAATTTATTCTCGGAACATACATGGAACCCTTTGGGTGGCGTGTCACCTGTGTGAGCTCACAGGGCATCCTTTTTACTGGAGAGAAAGACAATTTGCTAACTGTATCATGGTTATTTACCAGAAAGCTGATTCTATGGTAGGAGCATTTAACAATAGCTGCTGCTTCACGAGAAACTTCCAAAAGGTGTTTCAACTTGTTTCCCAAAGCACCTAAGTAATTCTCCCAGCATCTCTCAGAGGTATTACCCAATTTTACACTGAAGGTATGTGAGGGAGCGTGTTTGAAGGGGTGAGAGTAGGCACGTGAAACCGAGAGAGGTGAAAATATTGTCAGTAATGGAGGCAGTAATTGAACATAATCTCCTTACTCTTAAATTTCATCCTCTAGGTCACACTGCCTCCTACATCACACTCTCGGTATTAACATAAGCACGGGAGATTAATTTTATAGATCACATGAAAAGAAGATGACATTTATTGCCCCTTTTCAATGAGGCATCTCATTAGGAGGAGGGTAAACATTCATCCCAGGTTCAAAGAGTTGAGCTGAGAGCCAGATTCATTCACTAACTGCCTTAGACCTGGCTGTTATGATGATTCTTTGTCATGGTGAAAACACACACACACACACACACACACACTCACCAACTCCACAATTTCTATATGTGTAAGTCCGTGGCATTGATTATAAGCTTCATGGTGTTCAATCGTTGTATACTTAGTTTGCCAAAATATTTATAATAGAAAAATGCATTTGGGAAAATGGTTCTGTCAGAACATGCTTAGCCAGCCTCAAGATGGGTAAACTCACTGCCGCTGAGGTGATGCTGACTCGTAGCGACCCTACAGGACAGCGCAGAACTGCCCCGGTGGGTTTCCGAGACTGTAACTCTTTGCGGGAGTAGAAAGCCTCGTCTTGCCCCTGTGGATCGCCTGAGGTCTGTCTCTAACACTCATACACTGGAAGGTTAGTACAGACCGTGAAAGACTGGGGCCCAGACTTGACTGGGCCAGTCAGTCCAGTCCAGTTATCAAAGCTGTCCCCCAAAGATCTGGACCAACAAAGGGTGGTCATGAGAATCTTGATCAAAGTTTATACCTGAATGATCCAAACAACGTCAGCTAGCCGTGCTTCTGAAGATGGTGAAATCCCTCCTCCCCTCCCTTTTCAAGTATGTGACACTTGGCTGTTTGTTTGCCCTTGTTGGGTTGTCATGCCCTCAGCAAACTGGGAGATGGGGACACAAATGGACCTGATTTCTTAGGGCCTGCCATGTTTCCAGCAGCCCTGGGCTGCAGTGCAAACCCACTAGCCACCCTGCGGGAGATTGACAGCCTAGAAGCCGCATGGGACAGTTCTACTGTGTCTGTGAGTTGGAATTACCTGGGTGGCAATGAGGGTGGGTTGGGGAGTTTGCGCACGTGTCCAGGGAGACTTCTGTCAGGAGTAAGGGTAGAGAGGGAGCTTCAATTCAGGACAAACGAGTAGTCGCTACATTCTGACTTATGCACGAGACAAGATGCCTTCCTTGCTGGGGTGTTGGGCCAGAGTCATTTCCTGGGGTAGTGATTCTGCTGATGCCTTTGCCAGGGAGGCCTGGCAGGGAATCCCTGCTGCCCCAGTCAACAGAGAACACCCGGCTATTCAGAGCGGCCCTTCTCCCAGCGTGGCCGGCCGCCTCTGCTGTGCTGCGTCTTCCCCAGGGAGCCGTGGCCATCCCTTTCCCATGCTTCTGGAACTAGATCTGCGGCTTGTTCCAGTCCTGGCAGATCCCTGAGAAAGCAGAACTGGCTCTGTGACCTCTGAGTGACAGCTCGAGAGCTTTTCCTTCCAGGTCAGGTGCTGACTCCCCTGGGGAAGTACGTGGTCCCTCTTTCTTTCCGTTAATGGCAGTGCTGCATTATCCTTGCATCGGGAGGCACCACTAAACCCAATTATAAACTCCTAAGCCAGGAAGGCTTATGCAGGTCTCTGGCTTTTGTGGGTTATTGGATATTGAGCTTGTCAATTATCCAGACCTCTATTTTTGTGGCCTTGTATTCAATGATGCTAAAACTTTGGATCTTTATTTAACTTTCTGAGTCATCCCCCAAATAATTTGTGATGCTTCATTTGGACTCCCCTGCTCTCCTTGCAAAGACATATCGCAGAAGGAAAGGCAGCAGCTATGGAAACCTCAACTTTTTGAGACTCGACGTGACTTTAACACATTTTTACATGAAACCAGTTCTTTTGTTAAAAACAACACATATGTAAGTATTGACACAATAATAATAATAGTACCTATGCTGCCAAAGGAAATGAGTGACCGATCTTTGCAGATACCAAATCTGTGTACACTTTCGCCTCAACACCACAATCAGGAAGGCATCTTATCTCATGCATGAGTGATGGATATATATATCACTGGACCACGCTTAATCTCTAGTCTTTCTCCTCCACACCATCCCTTATCATTGTTCAGAAGCCTGCAGGATCTCAAGATAGATTTTTCTTTGTTTTTGTCAGCCTGCTTATATGGCCTCAAGTGAATGTACTATATAGACACATATTCACTGTACCAGGCTTTGAGATCGGACCTCATTCAACGAAGGGCAGGAGTAAGTACTTAAAATGAACTCTAATCATGAGAAGTGGCCCAGACTTAAGAAAAACTTGGGTAAAATAAAACCACCTTTGAAAAAGAAAGGCAGGAGAAATAAAGGCAGGTAAGAAAGTACGAGTGGAAGGTGAGAGGAAGGAGGAAGAAAGGAAGGAGAAGAAGGAAGGCGGGAGGGAGGAAATCCTCATTGGTTTGAAAATTGCTTGGAAAGCTGGGATTCTGGCTAGGCTCAGTCAAGACCATTTGAAACCTGAAAAGGATCCCAAGATCTTGCTGTGGAGTGGATTTATGGATCACCTGAATCTGCCCCATTCATGGTCAGCCTTCCTTTGAACCTGGAGTGAGAATCTCAATAGCTAAAATGGGGTGGGGGATTTCATGCCCAGCCTCCCACTCAAGTTCACCTTGCTCTAGCAGCGGTTCTCAACCTGTGGGTCTCGACCCCTTTGGTGGTCAAATGACCCTTTCACAGGGGTTGCCCAATTCATAACAGTGGCAAAATTACAGTGATGAAAATGCAATGAGAATTATTTTATGGTTGGGGGGTCACCACCGCATAAGGAACTGTATTAAAGGGTCGTGGTATTTGGAAGGTGGAGAACCACTGCTCTAGTGGGTCCTGCAGGGCTTCTGAGCAATAATAAGGGATGGTGTGGAAGAGAAAAACTAGAGATTAGGCGTGGTCCAGAGGAAGTTCGGGGGGTGGGGATAGCAAGGGCGGCTGGGTGGTGCATGTATTCTCAATGGAGAGTGCCCAGGTCAGGACGGGCTCTGGCTCCGTCATGAAGCCTGACCTGTGGCTTCTCAAGGGGCCTCGGTAAAGAGACTCTGGACATCGATTCATGAGGGAAGTGGATACTCACTCTGAAACCAGAGTTAGTGCGAAATATGACTGCATTACAGATAATGAAGCAAAATGGAAGAGTGATTGGGGGGCAGTAATCTCCTTGGGTATGTAAAGAACGGGGCTGTTTTTGATGCGGAAGATTTGTCAATCTCCATGATGTTAGGACTTCCTAGAGAATCAGACTTCATGGAGTTTGAATGAGAAAACCATTGAAAAATAATGATTGCTGACTGGATGCTAATGCAGACACAGAGGCTGGGGTGAGATTACATTCCTGCCGTCAAGCCTGGTCCATGGACAACCCTGGAGCACTATTAGCCTTAGCATCGTGCCTCTGTAGCAGGTTCTTGGCCTGCTTTTTGTTCCACTTTCTCTTTTATATCATCTAGGATTAGTTCTTCCTTTAAGGAGGGAAAAATGTTAACAAAAAAAAATCTACCGTACTGCACTGTACTGTCATGACTGTACTGTGAGTTATCTAAGAAAATCTGTTTTGCTAAAGGAGTGGTAGCCTGTTGAAATACCTGGTTTTATATTTTTATGTGGGTTGGGCAAATGCAGTCTGAAAGTGGCTAATATGATACTTGACCTGGTGTTAATAGCCAATGATACTTCCATATGCACCACCTGCTGCCTGTCAGGTTACACGTTCTCCCTTTCCCCCCTTTATTGGCACAGAGGTTACAATACGTGGGTCTCTGTGGCTAGCGTGGAGGCAAGCCCTCGTATTTCCCCAAAGAAACAGAGCTTTGATGGAATCATCGTTGTGGCACCCACCTGTTCTTCCAGCACTTCTGCTCATGCCTCCCTACTAACGGTGAAGTGAGGTGGCCCTTCAAAGCACAGACTCTCCCCCTGCATGGGGGCACGGGGAGAGAGGGGAGGAAGGAGAGCAGGAGGGAGGGAGGCTGCATCGCAAGAATGAACTGAAAGTGGTATTCATGAGGACAATTCTCTTGCCAACATCAAATCAGAGACATTTCCTGGACCGTATAGAGCCGAGGAAAACCCATTAACCAAAGATGTGGATTTGTTAACGAACTGCTTTACACCTTTTTAAATGCCACAGCCTTGTTTCTCTTTCTCCCTAAAATAACTTGTCCGGAATGTCTCAAAAGCACACTCCAGGTGGATCACGGTCCTTTCCTCTCCACGCTCTCCCATGAGGACAATTTTGGAAATTGGCTGGGCAACACAGCAAAAAAGAAACTAAAAACCTACCCTCACGTTCCTCCGCCCTCCTCCCCAACCAAACACCACAAAGCCAAAAGTCCCTCTCTATCCGTGGGGCTTGGGCCATGGCTGGCCTAGATCTGTTCAGAGCCACGTTCTTCCCAGACCCTCTGAACGCAGACTGTCAAGCGCCAGGCCCTGGAAGGACAAGGAGTCCCTGCCTCTGATTCTCTACAACGGCAGGCGGAGGGCTCAATCAGCAGGCTTTTTTTTTCTTTTTAACTTTAGAAAAACAGACCTGCATGTTCCCAATGACGGAGAAACCAGATTTCCGATTGTAACCATGCAGGAAGGGATATGAGTAGCCTGAAAGCAAGGCACAATACGGTAAAATGATTTTTTATTCTTGAGAGGCAAAGACATTATTAAAGATTTCCATGAACATTCGTGAATTCTTTTTGAAAGAAAATATGTTTAAACTCTTATTTGTACTATTATCCCAGCTGTTGCTATGTTCTTTTGGGGTCGAATCTCCCCCCCTTCTTTAGGCTTTTAAAACATCTTCTGGAGCCAGTCAATCTCTGTGGATGGAGATTGGTAAGAAGGGCTGCGTTCGGGCTCTCGAACAACCGTCCAAATGCCTTATGCTTCCAAACTCCTCGTCATCACGTTGCTTAGCTCAGGAAAATTCTCACAGCCTTTTCCAGGTGCTTGAGGAATATTTTTCTCACTTGAGTTAGTCCTTGCCACAGGCCATGAGGTACCTGTCTCACGTTCCCATCCCCATCCGGAGACCTCGGCCTCCCAGGGAAGAAGCGATTGGAATCCACAGGTTGGCAGTTTGAATCCACCCAGAGGCACGGTGGCAGAAAGGCCTGGTACTCAGCTTCTGAAAAGGCCACAGCCGGGAAAAGTCCACTGAGCAGTTCCCCGCTGTCACACAAGGGGTCGCCATGACTTGGAATCCACTTGGTGACAAGGAGCCTCTGTTTTGAATCGGCTTCTCAGCTTTGGCCACAAGGTTCTTTGAGGCTAGTGCCGTTTATAACCATTCTTGATGCTCAGTTTCACATAGGCGGTAGCTTTGTAATAAAATATTCTCTAACTAGTCATGAGAGGGTGGATTTGGTACAATAATGAACCTGGGGAAATGGTTAGCCATGCTTCAGAAGGTTGATCAATTGCACATCAAACCCCTGTTTTAAACCAAAACACAAACAAACCCCTCCATTGCAGTGAGGGGAAGCTCAGCACATCTCAGGGGGTTCTCTGCTCGGGGCTCACCATCTTTGGGCCTCCGGCACGAGTCATTTAACTGAGTAGAAGGGCCAAGAAGCTCTCCTTCCTTTCTAAAATTCTATTTTTCCTCTCACCGAAGATTAAATAATGTCCCTGACAGAAGATGCATTTCCCACTTTGTAAGTTTTTTCTCCCTTCTTCTCAACTTGCATGATTGTTTATTAAACTTCCCTTGGCCGTCTACATTCCCGCCCAATGCTCTTATAAGTCATCAATGGGTACTTGGAGAGCTCGACTTGGTTGAATTTTTTTTTTCTTTTTTTGGCTTCAGGCCGCAGTGAAGGCTCGTGCTTTGTGCTTGGTTGTAACCGGCTGTAACTTCATATTCTCCAGCACACAGAGGCACGAGTTTCTTTGAGACTCTGCTCTTCAGCATTAGAGAGGGACCCTTCATTGTAATCATTACCGAATGGATACAGTACTAATGGAACTTAATTGTTTCCACTAGATGGATCTCCGGTGTTTTTGGCAGCCAAAATGAAAATGATTCCAAATACCATCAAAGGGGCTTATAAGCACCCAGCATGCACAGAGTGTTTTGATATACAGTGGAGTGTTAATATCATTATCTCTCCTAATACAACATACGGTTACTTTAATCCTTTCCCGCCTCTGTGATCTTGGAAGATCCGGCGGGTAGAAGGCAAAGAATAAAACACTATATACAAGGAAACAAAGGGAGAATTAGTCCCCTTCCTTTGAGTGTGATTTTTTTTTTGATTGTTTGAATGCTGGCTTCAGATATGTACCTTTATCAATACTGACTTCTGTATCTTCTACGCTAATTTGAGTTCGTATGCGACATCAAACATACCTTTTCACACATGTTCTTTCCAGATTTTTTTTTAACACTTACTTAGCAGTTTATAGAAGGAAGTGAATGATCTCCTCAAGCTGCTTACAAATTAAAAAAAAATCTGTGCTTATTAATTATGCAGGATTAGTCTAATTATAATTCAGCAAATTAATTAGCGACAGAAGGTGTTCTGAAACATTGGAGTACATTTGCATGTTAAATGGAGAGGCTAGTCTGTAATATATGTAAA